GGGAGTGAAAGGTAGATTAATTGTCGTAAGGAGTTTTTGAGGAGTAGATGGCCTTGAGTGGCTTAGGGTGCCGAAGCCACTCTTGTCAGTGGCTTATCCTAAGTGGGTATCCAAAGACTCAAAGACTCATATGTCGTTTCTCATCAGTGTAGGAAATTATTCACTGTGGTTGGAAAAGCTATTGACATAGCTCGGGTGCAGGGGGGAGTTGTGCAAAATCCAGGTCTGTGCCTCGCAGAGGCTACAGGATCCAGTAATTTCAGTAGAACTTCGGTTTCAACCCTTTTAACCCTGTCGTAGCTCAGTCGATTAAGGCTGTGTCTGGGATGCTCCCGGACGCAGGTTCGAATCCTCGTCACGGCCCTTGTGGATTTATACACATATATAATATATATACATAATCTTGAGCTTTACTGACAACCAGGTTGTTCAGCTTTCTGATGCCAAATGGCTGATATTGATGAGTTGTAGAGACGATCATTAAAATTTATACGTTTTCGTAACCAACGTTACAAATGCAACCTATTAAGAAGAGAAACGACTCACAAATATGTACGTTTTTTATGCATCGGATTCGATAGGTTAGGGGGGTTGCTTGGGTTTCTTCGTTGCGGTCAGGATAAAAGGTTGGATTTTTTTTTATATTTTTAAGGAGATAATTGATTTTACCACTGCCGCCTGCCTGCAACAACAACTTAAGTGTTCCACACCCTACATTACCCACGCTGAATGATTGTAAATATATATATATATATATATATATATATATATATATATATATATATATATATATATATACATATATACATATATATATATATATATATATATATATATATATATATATATATATATATATATATATATATATATATATATATATATGCGAATAAGCTTGAATGGTCCCCAGGACTATATGCGACTGAAAACTCACACCTCAAAAGTGACTCGAACCCATACTGCCAGGAGCAACGCAACTGGTATCTACAGGACGCCTTAATCATATAACCTTACATATATATATGTATACATATATATCACATTAACTGTTGTGTAACTAACTTCAAAAGATTGTCTCTTGCTTAACTAAACGAATTCTGGAATTCAGTTCCTAAACCGATTATGTGCCTCTGTAACCCACTCCACCACCGCCCACAGGATGAGTATGAGGTGCATAATAAAGATAGACAATGAATTGTCGTCTCCTTCACCTGGAACAACTCCTCCATTCAACAAACTACCGCTCAAGACGAACACTTGGCTACTAAATAAGAACAATGGCGTCAGCTACCATTCACACAACCACACCCCCCTCATATATAAGTGTGAGAGACGCTTCGTACACTCCAGGGGCCCTCCCTTGTACGTTGTCTCACCCGGGAAGCTGTATCGTAAATACATCGACGCAGATCTGAAACTCGAAACAATGGATAGGAATTGGAAATAGGGTTATAGGTTTATGAAAGAGGTGGTCAGGTGAGGTGAGGCTCGGGGCTGTTGGAGTGGTTTTAGATTGAAAGTTTTTTCAGTGAAAAACACTACCTTTGAAAGTTTTTGAATCGACTTGAGAATGGTCCAGGACGGACCGAAACGTCGTCGTCCCTTCACCTTGTAGTGTGTGGTCTGGTCAACTTTTTTTAATTGTAGGTGATATACTTGGCTAATACATTACACTCTTGTTCTTCAGTTAGTGTTTGTAATGTGTGTTTACTACTATCTTATATGTAAAATATGTGCTTTTTCCTCGCTAATTTAAACTGTAAGCTCACTGTCAACGATGCCGGGTGCAACGGAGACGGTTGGGCACGTTCTCTTCACCAGATATCTCTGTTCACCGCCTTTCTGTTTTTTGATCAGTTGCTGCAATAACTTTCATACATCATGTTTCTCGTCGTATTTCATTTAGCACCTGGATTGTACCTGGATTGTACCTGGATTGTACCTGGATTGGGATCTGGGAATAGTTTTACTTCCCAAGCCCGGGTCCAGGGTTGACTTGATTTGTGAGAGCTTGGTCCAACAGGCTGTTGCTTGGAGCGCCCCGCAGCCCCACATATCCACCACAGACCGGATGGTCCGGCGAATTTTACACAGCGACTTGATCTTGTTCGGTTCTTTACGGTAAGGAAGTCTGACTTGAAGTCAGTGTGGCCAGCTTCGAGTCTCGAGGTCTACCCGGGTCTTATCCCGACCAATGCCTCTTCATTGCCTCTTTATCGACCCTGCTGTAAAGTCCTCTTAATATCTCATATACCTTGTAATTATATCTCACCTGATTCGCCTTCCTTCAAGGTTGTGAACTTGGGTTCACCTATAGCCTTTCACTGTCGCATGGCTGTGTACTTCCTCTAGTATTACTGTATGTTTTTTTGGAAGTGGACTCCATGTCGCAGCTGCATAATCAAGGGTTATTCTGGCGTATGTTGTATATATAACCTTCTGAAGACCTCCTCGTCTAGGTTTCTCAAAGCTACGCCAGTTACGCGTATAGTGCAAACATTGTTTTGTTAAGGTGAACCTCAGACGACAAGTCTGATGTTGTTATAGATTCAGCTACTCGGAACAAGTTCCAAGTAGCACGGTCTACGGTGAGCCCGTAACTTACCTGGCACAGGAGCGGGGGTGAAGTCTGGTGTTACACCGGCGCCTTACAGCCTTACCTATCTCTCTGGGTGGGCTCTCTGGGATCTGTGTTCTCTACGGCCTGTACCGTCCCTGGGTTCGTCTCTCTCTACCTTTGCCAGCATCCCAGCATCGGCTGAGGTACGCGAAATGTCTGAATTAACTTCCGATGCGAGAGTTTGGACGTAACTATAATTTGTGTGCGCTGCGCGAGCAGATGGCGCGGAAGTGCAGATAAACCGATAAACCTTCACCCCGTACTGGTGGGAAGTGTGGGGAGGGTGTGTGGGGGAAAGGGGGGTGACTGTGGGTAGTGTGGGTGTGTGAGGGTGGATATGAGGTCGAGGGTGGGGGTCAGGGGGAGAAATGGGGGGTGTATACGGGTGTTTGAGTGTTATGAAGGGGGAGAGAGTGTGGGTCGGGTGGAATATTCGCTTCGTTGGGAAATGGGTTGCCTGAAGAATTGTGTCAATTGGTTTGAGAGCGTCGGTTCTGGGAGTTGGTTAGGTCTTTGGTGGGGGTCGGTTTGGCGAGTTGGCCGGTTTTAGGAGTGGACTGGTTTGGAAAGGTGGCCGGCTTGGGAAGTAGGCCGGTTGGAGTGAGTTGGTTTTGGGAGTGAGCCGGTTAAGAAAGTGGATGAGTCGGGTCGCAGGACGCGATCACCACAACCACCATCTCAAATTCGTTACAATATAGAACAGAAACGCAAAGAAGCGAAGCAAAACTGAAACAAATCCCCCCCTCCCCCCCCGAAAAAAGGCCTAAATTAAGCCTCACAGCAGGACAGGGTCGCCTCCAGACCTGAGAACAGTTCCCTCAGACCAAAACTTACCTAAAGAGTTGAGGTGTTTCCTCTCCTGAATGCACCGCTCCTGTGCCAAGTAAGTTCACTACGGGCTCACCATAGCCTGTGCTACTTGGAACTTTTTTGTTCCCAGTAGCTGAATCTATAACAACAACAACAACAACAAGATACAGTACTTAACTCCAAAAGATCTATCCTGTAGCCTCCTGGTTGGCGGCTACAGGATAGACCAAACACCAAACAAGCTGTATAGATGGTTCAAGTTCGAGGCTCCACGTAAGGCCCAGTCAGCCCCCGTAGAGGAATTGTGGAAGACACTTACACTAGGAGGTAAATGTGTCAAGTTATAGTGTTAATGTGAATAGTGAACACCAGCATGTGTGTGTGTCATTATTCTGCCCACCTGAAACATACAAGCACTGTGTACTCATCTATTAGTACTAGCCTACTTGTGTCTGCAGGATCGAGCATTGACTCTTGGATCCCGCCTTTCGAGCCATCGGTTGTTTAGAGCAATGGCTGTAATGTGTGCTTGTGTGTGTGTGTGTGTGTGTGTGTGTGTGTGTGTGTGTGTGTGTGTGTGTGTGTACTCACTTAATACTCACCTAATTGTGCTTGCGGGGGTTGAGCTCTGGCTCTTTGGTCCCGCCTCTCAACCGTCAATCAACAGGTGTACAGGTTCCTGAGCCTATTGGGCTCTATTATATCTACACTTGAAACTGTGTACGGAGTGTGTGTGTGTGTGTGTGTGTGTGTGTGTGTGTGTGTGTGTGTGTGTGTGTGTGTGTGTGTGTGTGTCCGGTACCCGGGGTGTTGCTCAGCACAGCTTCCCTATCTCCACAAACCACCATCTTCCATCTCCCTCTCCACTACCCGTCCCCCCCCCCCCCCAGCCTGGTGCTCCAGGCCTGAGACAGTTCAAGGAACACCTCGCTTGATGTGAGCGTCGACACGTCCTGTGTCGGCGCGGCCCCGGGTCGTTAATGGTAATTGGTAGTTGGTGGTTGGTGGTGTTGGTGGTAGTGGTGGTAGTGAAAATAGTGATGATTGTTGATGTTGTTACTACCTATCACGGACTAAAGGGGGGTGGTGGTGGGGAGGGGAGACAGGCAAACTGCTTGTGCCCAATTTACTGGCCTTGTTCTACCTGTTACGTTGTAATTAACTGTTCCGACGTTCGAATTCTTTGTCAGATTTGGCCTTAAGAGATCCCACTCGTTACATTCCTCAACTCGAAACCTGGGGCCAGATTCACGAAGCAGTTACGCAAGTAATTACGAACGTGTACATCTTTCCTCAATCTTTGACGGCTTTGGTTACATTTATTTAATAGTTTACGAGCATGAAAACTTGCCAATCAACTGTTGTTATTGTTATAAACAGCCTCCTGGTGCTTCGGAGCTCATTAGCTGTTTAATAATTGTAAACAAAGCCGCCAAAGATTGAGAAAACATGGACAGATTCGTAAGTGCTTGCGTAACTACTTAGTGAATCTGACCCCTCGTCTTTGACTGTGACTCTTTTGTTTTTATTTTTCTATCAGCCCCATATCCAGTTAGTGTCTTGGCAGTTATCACAGCTTCTTCATCTCGTACACCAGCATCTCATGAGCAACAGTATCAGATACCTTTGGCACTGTATAGAACGACTTGAGACCTTACTTACGCTTTTGAATACCTTTGTTATGTGTAGCATCATCATCTTATATCCTGCTGATGTCTCGTTGATGTGTTCCTCCGGTGTTGATGGAAGTAGATCCATTCCCAAATCTTTTTCTCTTTCCAGTTCCTGTAATTGTCTTCCTCTTGATGTGTAGATGTCTCCTGGTCTCTCTTCTCTCTCTACGACGTCTCTCTTCTCCTTCTACGTAGTCTCTCTTCTCCTTCTACGTCGCAGGCAAACATTGGCATGTGCTGGCTCACTGCCTTAAGCTGGTCACTAAAATAAATTAGGAACAGCACAGGTCTTAGAAATGAACCTTCAGGGACCCCCATTCCCTGGTCCCTGGCAATAGGGGACCCCCCACTCCTTGGTCCCTGGCAATGGGGGACCCCCCATTCCCTGGTCCCTGGCAATTGAGGGGACCCCACTACTCTCAGCTCGATTACTTTCTCTAGCATCTAACACATAATATTTATCAGTGACACAGATCTGCAATTTAGTGTCAACTGTCTGTCTCCCCATTTCAAATATTGGCTCCAAATGGTTGGTCAGCATGCCTATCCTCTGTTCTATCCAGGAATCCTTATCGTGTCCTCTCCAAGTGCTATACAGCCATAATGGCCTTGCGCTTTCCCCCTTTCACCTTGCTACTGTTAGGCAAGTAGAGTTAGGGTAACAACCTAGTTATATGCAGAGCTAACAGCCTCATGATCACCTTGTCAGGATCGTACCCAAATTCTTGTAGTAATTATGATGAAGTAAATGTAGAAGTGCTGATAAGAAACATCATAACAGCTTTCTAGATTTGACAAGACGAAGATTAAGCCACCCAAAAGGTGGCACGGGCATGAATAGCCCGTAAGTGGAGGCCTTTCTGAGCCATTACCAGTATCAAGAGCTGATACTGGAGATCTGTGGAGGTGCGACTGCACCCTGCGTGACGGGAGATGTCTCCCGTGGTGATAAGACGAATATGATGAATATGATGAATATATATATATGTATAGTGCCACAGGTCTCTTATACCCTGACCGTGGAAGAGATGGGAAATGATAAGAGAAGGGGACAGGTAGGTGGAAGGAACAGGAAGAAGGTGACAAGAGTCAAATATCACCAAAATCTTCCACTGGAGAGCAAGGGGGATTGTTTACCTGAGGATAGCGAAGCTTTACATGGTGACAGCCAAACATCATCTTTACGATGGCTCCTCAAAAATATCCACCAGGAAATTCACCTGACGACCACATGAGTCCCCACACACACACAGCTGTCAACACCTGGGGACCACATTATGAGTCCACCCCACACACAGCTGTCAACACCTGGGGACCACATGAGTCCACCCCACACAGCTGTCAACACCTGCCAAGCACACCAGTAACCCACAGCTCTACACACAGGACTCCAGGAAACACACCTGGTAAACCCCACATAAATTACAGGTAATAATAATAAAGAGGAAGGAAGGTTATCTTGAGATGATTTCGGGGCTTTTTGGTGTCCCCGCGGCCCGGTCCTCGACCAGGCCTCCACCCCCCAGGAAGCAGCCCGTGACAGCTGACTAACACCCAGGAACCTATTTTACTGCTAGCTAACAGGGGCATAGGGTGAAAGAAACTCTGCCCATTGTTTCTCGCTGGCGCCTGGGATCGAACCCAGGACCACAGGATCACAAGCCTAGCGTGCTGTCCGCTCGGCCGACCGGCTGCCTCAAGACCGGGAAAGACTCAATATATATACAAATGTATTAAAAAACAAATTTTCAGATGTAACCTCCATTCTCATATACAATGTTGTGACATTGAGAAAGGTTGTGGGTTACATGGGAACGTTTGGGCTTTAATATATTTACACACATACTGGGCCATTCCTTCACCTTCATTTAAGCGGGGCTATGGTACCCGAAAATCCGAAGAAAAATGGAATATTTACGAAAAATTACGAAAAATACTACAACGTTCTGGCAACACTGTGGTCCAAACCGTTTAATGTTATCTTGAAAAATAACGTAATTAGAGTCAAATTAAGCACTGTAGCAAGTTTCTTAATAATAATGTTCAAAGAAATCAATAAGGAAATCAGTAGGAGCCATGAGGACACGCCTCAAACCACTGAACCATGATATGCTGCACTATTAATATAACGTGAAATTTAATAGAATTCTTTAGGGGGTTTGTGTAATAATAATTCGTGTTATAACACGCAATAACGTGATTGAAGCATATAACACAAGCCAGCAATATAAAATGACCTTTGGTGGGTTTTCTTCTTGTAACAAGTAACGGAAGCTTTGCTTGTTACAATGTGAACAAGTTACATGCATCAGAGTGAAGAGAAGAGTTCCATTACACACAGACATCACAATAACGTGATCTCGGACGTAGGTTCGAATCCTCGCCACAGCCCTTGTGGATTTGTTCAAAAAGAGTTCCACAACGCCGAAAGCCTGCATCCGGGGGGTTTGCAACACGTTCAATATAATTTTTTTCCCGTGTCAGAGTTGGTAGTAAATGGAATGCATTAGGCAGTGATGTGGTGGAGGCTGACTCCATACACAGTTTCAAGTGTAGATATGATAGAGCCCAGTAGGCTCAGGAACCTGTACACCAGTTGACTGACGGTTGAGAGGCGGGACCAAAGAGCCAGAGCTCAACCCCCGCAAGCACAACTAGGTGAGTATAACCCCTCCCCCCCCCCCAGATCGCGTGAGGTCCGCCAAATCAGCGTTAGAGATACAATCAGCTTAGGTAGAGTACAACTGTTATAATCTGTATAATTCGCGTGACTGTGTCGTGTTGGACAAGGGGGCATTTAATGACTGTAGGGCGGTCCCCCCCCCCCCCCACCGCTCGTTACCACCGTCATCACAGTCCAATTTGGTAATAACCAATTGGTCTCCAGACAAGTTTTTAACCAATTATTGTTTACGGTAAAATATTTGACAAGTGAGTAGTGACACGAGGTCAGTAATATAATATACCGGGATTGATCTGGTATTTATGGGGGATCTCCTTACGAAACCTCTACATCTTTCCTCGGTCATGGTGGCGTAAGACATAAGCGAGCTTGGAAACTTCACAACCCGAGGAAACTTCACAATCATAACATCTTTATTGTTATGAACAACCTCGTAGGGCTTCGGACGTCGTAAACTGCTTTATTAATGTAAGCCGTGATTGAAGAAAGATATAAAGGCTTCGTTTATGGAGCGCCTGTCCTCTGACAATCTGAACTTGTTGAAGTGTTCTTGTTCAGGCAGTGTGTTCTTGTTCACTCTGTTTATACAATGTTTTTGTTGAGAATACATCCGCTTCTTGTTATGTTTACCAGGAAAGACAACGCACAACTGTACTTTTATCAGTTTTGGTTTCCAGGACGGCTGGTGCATCTAAATGATCACAGTCGTTGTTTTCCAAGGAGAGATAGCGTATGACAAGAATAACTGGGTTTTTATCAGGACGAGAAACGTATATATATTGAATTTGTGTTTCCCAGGACGACAAGTCTGGGCGCTTACAACATTAGGAGTCACTAATTCTATTTCCCAGGAGAAACAACGCAAGTAGAAGCCTCTTCGTTTGCATTACTAGGCTTCAGTAGCTGTGTACTCTAGGATGAACAAAGCTCGTATAGAAGGCGTTGTTCTTGTTATTTATCCCAGGAATTGTTCCTTATTATTATTTTTATTGATCAAAATTAATTACAATTTTGCCTAATTTGAGTAATTTAATTAGGCCCACTGGTTTTATAACTCGCTGTGTGCCAGGACGAATAGGAATCATAACTTGATGAATAGGAATCATAACTTGAACCAACACCAAGTTATCTTTAGGATTATAGCTGAACTTTTGGTTAGAAGATTCTTATATATGTCGGTTGGAGGCAAGTTTTATCATCAATTCTCCTGGAAAAAAAATGTTGGGTGTTTACCCTTGACAGTTGCCGTTCACCGCCACCTGGTACATTTCTGATATTATAATTACATTACGTTATTATAATTACACCTAACCAGCCCGCTGTTGTTATTGTGACATTCTCAGGTAAATGTTGTATGTGTTGTGAAAAGGAAGAGGGGGAATAGTCTGAGGGTTATTTATGTTTACGGGCTCACCATAGCCCGTGCTACATGGACACTTCGTCCTGAGTAGCTAAATCTTTAACAACAACAGTCTGAGGGTTCAGATAATAATGGGGAATAGTAAGGGACTGGGAGGGTTTGGTGGCTGGGGTGATAAGGGTTTCAGGCATCGACGTCCGTGTATAGATTTTCGAACGCTGTTTGCCTGGTTGACGGCTGTTGTTTTACGAATGGTTGAAAGCTGTTGGAACGCTGGTTGATAGTGGTTTTGCATCTGGTTCTGGACTTTTTGTAGAGTTGGATAAATTGGTTAATTGCTGTTGTAGGGCTGTTTTAGAGCATTTTAAGAAGCTGTTGTATCATAGTATCATTTTAATGATACTATGATACAACATATCATAGTGCTGCTGTATCATAGTGCCGCTGTATCACAATGTCTCTGTATCACAATGTCGCTGTATCACAATGTCGCTGTATTAGACACAGTAATAAAAATATCATTAAACCGCTGAGTGACGTCATCACACAAGCTGCCCATCGGCCGACTTGTAAACAAAAGATGAAGAAGAGATAATCAAGAGATAATCAAGAGATAATCACCGCAGCGGGTAATTACAACTCTTAGGGTAAGTGCAGAGGGTGAAGTTGACGTGTTAAGAACCTCTGTAACGATGTACTTAGCCTGGTCTGGGGTGCCATTGGCTGTGGGGGAGGGGGGGGGAAAGAGAGAGGGAAGGGAAAGTGAGAGAGAGGGAGGGAGGGAGAGAGAGAGAGAGAGAGAGGGGAGAGAGGTGGGTGACCCTTCCTCTTCACTACACACCCCAGGAATCTACCATTACTGGCCTCCTCCCCTGCTGTTTTTCCTCTCTCCCTCCTCCTTGTTTCCCCTCACTTTTCCTTCCTCTCTCTCTCTCTCTCTCTCTCTCTCTCTCTCTCTCTCTCTCTCTCTCTCTCTCTCTCTCTCTCTCTCTCTCTCTTTCTCTCTCTTTTTCTCTCTCTCTCTCTCTCTCTCTCTCTCTCTCTCTCTCTCTCTCTCTCTCTCTCTCTCTCTCTCTCTCTCTCTCTCTCTCTCTCTCTCCCCCCCATCTCCTCTCCCACTCTTTCTTACTCCATCCTCCCTCTTTTTATCGTTGTTTCCCTACGTCTCTTCCCTTCTATTCTCTTCCGCCTCCTCTTTCCCTATCCATCCACCTCCCTCCGTCCCCTCCTCTTCCTTCTATCTTCCTCCTCTTCCACCTCTCTTCCCTCTCCCTCCCACTGCCTGGCCCTAATGCAACCATCTAGTTTAATGTGCTTATGATTTTATATCTTGATTTTTTTAATATATCAGAACATTTTTTTCCCTCTCAGGAAATGCTAAAGTTTCTCAGGTGATCAGCAGCGTTCATTTTTGTTGTCGTACAGCTCTTAGGGTTGTCGTACAGCTCTTGAGGGGTGTCGTACAGCTCTTGAGGGGTGTCGTACAGCTCTTGTGGTTGTCGTACAGCTCTTGAGGGTTGTCGTACAGCTCTTGTGGGTTGTCGTACAGCTCTTGAGGGGTGTCGTACAGCTCTTGTAGGTTGTCGTACAGCTCTTGTAGGTTGTCGTACAGCTCTTGTAGGTTGTCGTACAGCTCTTGTGGGTTGTCGTACAGCTCTTGTGGTTGTCGTACAGCTCTTGTGGGTTGTCGTACAGCTCTTGTGGTTGTCGTACAGCTCTTGTGGGTTGTCGTACAGCTCTTGTGGTTGTCGTACAGCTCTTGAGGGTTGTCGTACAGCTCTTGAGGGGTGTCGTACAGCTCTTGTGGTTGTCGTACAGCTCTTGAGGGGTGTCGTACAGCTCTTGTAGGTTGTCGTACAGCTCTTGTAGGTTGTCGTACAGCTCTTGTAGGTTGTCGTACAGCTCTTGTGGGTTGTCGTACAGCTCTTGTGGTTGTCGTACAGCTCTTGTGGGTTGTCGTACAGCTCTTGTGGTTGTCGTACAGCTCTTGTGGGTTGTCGTACAGCTCTTGTGGTTGTCGTACAGCTCTTGAGGGTTGTCGTACAGCTCTTGTAGGTTGTCGTACAGCTCTTGTGGGTTGTCGTACAGCTCTTGTGGGTTGTCGTACAGCTCTTGTGGGTTGTCGTACAGCTCTTGTGGTTGTCGTACAGCTCTTGTGGGTTGTCGTACAGCTCTTGGGGTTGTCGTACAGCTCTTGTGGTTGTCGTACAGCTCTTGAGGGTTGTCGTACAGCTCTTGTAGGTTGTCGTACAGCTCTTGTGGGTTGTCGTACAGCTCTTGTGGGTTGTCGTACAGCTCTTGTGGGTTGTCGTACAACTCTTGTGGGTTGTCGTACAGCTCTTGTAGGTTGTCGTACAGCTCTTGTGGGTTGTCGTACAACTCTTGTGGGTTGTCGTACAACTCTTGTGGGTTGTCGTACAGCTCTTGAGGTTGTCGTACAGCTCTTGGGGTTGTCGTACAGCTCTTGGGGTTGTCGTACAGCTCTTGGGGTTGTCGTACAGCTCTTGTGGTTGTCGTACAGCTCTTGTGGGTTGTCATACAGCTCTTGTGGGTTGTCGTACAACTCTTGTGGGTTGTCGTACAACTCTTGTAGGTTGTCGTACAGCTCTTGTGGGTTGTCGTACAACTCTTGAGGGTTGTCGTACAACTCTTGTGGGTTGTCGTACAGCTCTTGTAGGTTGTCGTACAGCTCTTGTGGGTTGTCGTACAGCTCTTGAGGAGTGTCGTACAGCTCTTGAGGAGTGTCGTACAGCTCTTGTAGGTTGTCGTACAGCTCTTGGGGGTTGTCGTACAGCTCTTGAGGGTTGTATAGCTCTTGTGGGTTGTCGTACAGCTCTCAGGGGTTGTCGTACAGCTCGAGGGTTGTTGTACAGCTCTTGAGGGTTGTCGTACAGCTCTTGTGGTTGTCGTACAGCTCTTGTGGGTTGTCGTACAGCTCTTAGGGTTTTCGTACAGCTCTTGAGGGTTGTCGTACAGCTCTTGTGGTTGTCGTACAGCTCTTGTGGTTGTCGTACAGCTCTTGTGGGTTGTCGTACAGCTCTTGTGGGTTGTCGTACAACTCTTGTGGGTTGTCGTACAACTCTTGTAGGTTGTCGTACAGCTCTTGTGGGTTGTCGTACAACTCTTGAGGGTTGTCGTACAACTCTTGTGGGTTGTCGTACAGCTCTTGTAGGTTGTCGTACAGCTCTTGTGGGTTGTCGTACAGCTCTTGAGGAGTGTCGTACAGCTCTTGTAGGTTGTCGTACAGCTCTTGGGGGTTGTCGTACAGCTCTTGAGGGTTGTATAGCTCTTGTGGGTTGTCGTACAGCTCTCAGGGGTTGTCGTACAGCTCGAGGGTTGTTGTACAGCTCTTGAGGGTTGTCGTACAGCTCTTGTGGTTGTCGTACAGCTCTTGTGGGTTGTCGTACAGCTCTTAGGGTTTTCGTACAGCTCTTGAGGGTTGTCGTACAGCTCTTGTGGTTGTCGTACAGCTCTTGTGGTTGTCGTACAGCTCTTGTGGGTTGTCGTACAGCTCTTGTGGTTGTCGTACAGCTCTTGTGGTTGTCGTACAGCTCTTGTGGTTGTCGTACAGCTCTTGAGGGTTGTCGTACAGCTCTTGTGGTTGTCGTACAGCTCTTGTGGTTGTCGTACAGCTCTTGTGGGTTGTCGTACAGCTCTTGTGGTTGTCGTACAGCTCTTGGGGTTGTCGTACAGCTCTTGTGGTTGTCGTACAGCTCATGAGGGTTGTCGTACAGCTCTTGTGGTTGTCGTACAGCTCTTGTGGTTGTCGTACAGCTCTTGTGGTTGTCGTACAGCTCTTGAGGGTTGTCGTACAGCTCTTGTGGTTGTCGTACAGCTCTTGTGGTTGTCGTACAGCTCTTGGGGTTGTCGTACAGCTCTTGTGGTTGTCGTACAGCTCTTGAAGGTTGTCGTACAGCTCTTGTGGTTGTCGTACAGCTCTTGAGGGTTGTCGTACAGCTCTTGAGGGTTGTCGTACAGCTCTTGAGGGTTGTCGTACAGCTCTTGGGGTTGTCGTACAGCTCTTGTGGTTGTCGTACAGCTCTTGAGGGTTGTCGTACAGCTCTTGAGGTTGTCGTACAGCTCTTAGGGTTGTCGTACAGCTCTTGAGGGTTGTCGTACAGCTCTTGAAGGTTGTCGTACAGTTCTTGTGGTTGTCGTATAGCTCTTGTGGTTGTCGTACAGCTCTTGTGGTTGTCGTACAGCTCTTGTGGTTGTCGTACAGCTCTTGTGGTTGTCGTACAGCTCTTGTGGTTGTCGTACAGCTCTTGAGGGTTGTCGTACAGCTCTTGAGGGTTGTCGTACAGCTCTTGTGGTTGTCGAACAGCTCTTGAGGGTTGTCGCACAGCTCTTGAGGGTTGTCGTACAGCTCTTGTGGTTGTCGTACAGCTCTTAGGGTTGTCGTACAGCTCTTGAGGGTTGTCGTACAGCTCTTGAAGGTTGTCGTACAGCTCTTGTGGTTGTCGTACAGCTCTTGTGGTTGTCGTACAGCTCTTGTGGTTGTCGTACAGCTCTTGTGGTTGTCGTACAGCTCTTGAGGGTTGTCGTACAGCTCTTGAGGTTGTCGTACAGCTCTTGTGGTTGTCGTACAGCTCTTGAGGGTTGTCGTACAGCTCTTGAGGGTTGTCGTACAGCTCTTGTGGTTGTCGTACAGCTCTTAGGGTTGTCGTACAGCTCTTGAGGGTTGTCGTACAGCTCGAAGAAGTGAGCAAGTTACACGTCTTTAATATATGTTGTATCGTTCTGTCACATACATCATACAACAGCCACATACATCATACAACAGCCACATACATCATACAACAGTTGCATAATTGCAGTCTATAAATTATATAATGTTAAACCTGATATCCATATCAAAGACTTTTCATAATGTTATGACAGTTGCCTCCTAATGGACGCGATTAGTTTCTATATTTTCCATATATCATGCAATTAATTATATAATCATATCTCCATATATTTATATAAATAAATTATTTAATTATTCATTTAATTATTATTACGCCATTATTGACGTATTATTAAATAATAATAATATTAAAATACATATTCAAGTTAGTTTCAATATCATCTGCTGTAAAACTTTGCATTTATCAGTATTGTGGAGAAGTGAGGAACACATTTGCATGCCGGCACAGCGATCCATCATTCCCAACTCAGTTGCCATTGCAGAGTGCAATTAGCTATGATTGATTACATGATTTACTCACATAGAGCTCACTTGACATCAGGTCATGACAGTTCTATGTTGCGACTCTAACGTTCTATTTTGGGTATTTGGGTTGCTGGCAGAGTCGGGTCCCGGGTCTCCTGAGCCTTTACCGCACCCTTGAGGTTATCTTGAGATGATTTCGGGGCTTTAGTGTCCTAGCGGCCCGGTCCTCGACCAGGCCTCCACCCCCAGGAAGCAGCCCGTGACAGCTGACTAACATCCAGGTACCTATTTACTGCTAGGTAACAGGGGCATAGGGTGAAAGAAACTCTGCCCATTGTTTCTCGCCGGCGCCTGGGATCGAACCCAGGACCACAGGATCAGAAGTCCAGCGTGTTGTCCGCTCGGCCGACCGGCTCCCCCTGAAGGCATACATTATACCGAGTATACATTATATGAGGATTGCTAAACTATTTTCAAGCAGAAATGGCTTTCTATTGCAATCACCTAATCTCATCTTAAATCTCGAGATTAGTGAATATTTACGTTGTGTAAGAGATGAAGATACATTCTGACCAGCCAGTGTCAGTGTGGATAATTTAAACGAGAAGAAGTGACTATAGCGCAACACTGTACAAGGGAGTCACATACTATTTATACTGAATTATCCGCCACAGTCGTCTCCGTCAGAGCAAGTGGCGGCCATCATGTTAATTCTTCTCTTTGTGTCCTCTGTGGCCATAGGCTTAGTGGTAAATTATAATTTATAATGTTGACCAGACCACACACTAGAAAGTGGAGGGACGACGACGTTTCGGTCCGTCCTGGACCATTCTCAAGTCTATAATTTATAATGTATCTGTGTAAGCTTTTGAGACTTGTCCTTGACGTTGAGTGAAAGATGCGGCCAGATTTTCCCTTCAATTGATCAGGTTTAGTGTAAATATCCCGCGCCTGCTTTATGGTCTGGGATAAGCTCATACAGCAGGTTAGCAGACGTGGCTGTGTCTCTGTCTCTCAGAGAGAGACAGAGACCTCTTACCTCTCACCTGAGAGGTTAGAGGTAAGAGTCTCTCTCTCTCTCTCTCTCTCTCTCTCCTCTCTCTCTCTCTCTCCTCTCTCTCTCTCTCTCTCTCTCTCTCTCTCTCTCTCTCTCTCTCTCTCTCTCTCTCTCTCCTGAGAGGTTATATGTAGGAGTCTCTCTCTCTCTCTCTCTCCTGAGAGGTTATATGTAGGAGTCTCTCTCTGTCTCTCTCCTGAGAGGTTATATGTAGGAGTCTCTCTCTCTCTCTCTCCTGAGAGGTTATATGTAGGAGTCTCTCTCTCTCTCTCTCTCTCTCTCTCTCCTGAGAGGTTATATGTAGGAGTCTCTCTCTGTCTCTCTCCTGAGAGGTTATATGTAGGAGTCTCTCTCTCTCTCTCTCCTGAGAGGTTATATGTAGGAGTCTCTCTCTCTCTCTCTCCTGAGAGGTTATATGTAGGAGTCTCTCTTCTGAGAGGTTAGAAGTAGGAGTTTTTCTCCTGAAAGGATAGGAAATGTAGGGGTTTTTCTCTATTGAGAGGTTATAAAATGTGGGAGTTTCTCCTGAGAGGAGAGGTTAGGAGAGTCTCTCTCTCTCTCTCACCTGAGGTACTCACGCCCCTCCCTTACCCCCTCTTTCCTCTCTCCCAACCAGGGGGAACTGAAGGCACATTCTCCCACCAGACATTAGCAACAGCAGAATTTATTGCCCTGACATATAACATGATTAAATATTGCAGTTAAAACTTTAAAATTAAAGCGGGCAGAGCAGAGACGGCAGCATAAATCAGCAGACACAAGAGTCCACTTATCAGAGCAGCGTAGGGAGCGCCGCAGTGCTGCCTCAAGTCTGAGTTATCCTCATGGTCCCTGTGTCATGCTTGTAAACAAACACAGCTCTCCCGTACATGGTCCAAGCTTCTTATTTAAATTTTGTCATCAATATCTGACTTGCTGGGAGAGTTGCCGGTGGGTGTAAAAACACTTGGAACTTCACGAGCCTCGAGGGGGATAATATATAAGTCTGACGCGCAGTAGTAAATATAATCTCCTTAAATAAGCCTTTGTCTTCACTGTGAAGACTTCGTGGGGTCTAGAGGCAATACACGGAAAGTCGGCGCTTAAAGGATTCCTATTCTGCTTTTTCTGGTATTCATACGTCAGGAGTCGTTTAACCTCGCCAGCCACGTCAAATTCGAGGGCAGGTGGTGGGGGAGAATTGTGGTTTTGTGGAGGTAGAAAAACGGGGAACTGGGGGTAGAAGTAAGAAACTTGGGTTTGCAGGCGATGAGTCACAATAACGTGGCTAAAGTATGTTGACCAGACCACACACTAGAAGGTGAAGAGACGACGACGTTTCGGTCCGTCCTGGACCATTCTCAAGTCGATTGTGACTTGACACAATCGACTTGAGAATGGTCCAGGATGTACCGAAACGTCGTCGTCCCTTCACCTTCTAGTGTGTGGTCTGGTCAACAAACGAACCGGGGTTTTGCTACGTGGTAAGAAAGGGGGAATTGAAACTTGCATGAGCCAAGACAGTGTTTCTCTCCCAGAATGACAGACGTCACCATATCTCAACACCGAAACACACACACGTTACAGTTGAGAGGCGTGACCAAAGAGCCAAAGCTCATCCTCCCCCAGCACAACTAAGTAGGTCCACGAACAATAAATGCTTTGCATTTTCCACAACATCTACACACAGCCACAAAGCACCTGGGACTGGACGATAATGTCCTTACATACCCTTCTTCATTTAGGGAAGCTAATGATGCCATTGTCTGTCGTAGAGAGAAGAGGGGAAAAAATAGTCACTGTCGGCAGTTTTTGTAGCGCAAGACGGAATATATCTGTGGCACGAGCTGGCACGCGCTTATACGAACCGTCTCTCTGATTAGCCTATTCTGAAGGATAATGAGAGACTAATATAGAACGTCCCCTTTCCTGGCCTGGGGCCGCAGTGAAAGGAAGAGGTGTAAGAAGAATGGGGGAGAGAGAGAGAGAGAGAGAGAGAGAGAGAGAGAGAGAGAGAGAGAGAGAGAGAGAGAGAGAGAGAGAGAGAGAGAGAGAGAGAGAGAGAGAGAGAGAGAGATGGAAGGAGGGAGAGAGAGGAAAGAGAGTGGGATAGAGAGAGAGAGAGAGAGAGAGAGAGAGAGAGAGAGAGAGAGAGAGAGAGAGAGAGAGAGAGAGAGAGAGAGAGAGAGAGAGAGAGAGAGAGAGACAGAGAGAGACAGATAGACAGACAGACAAATTCAAGAAACAGTGAAACAAGAAATTACATTTACAGTAATAAAATATAAACATGGAAAACTAAGATAAACAATACGACAGGAAGAAGAATAACATCATGTAAATAAATATATATATATATATATATATATATATATATATATATATATATATATATATATATATATATATATATATATATATATATATATATATTATTAAATATGACCGAAAAAGTAAGATTAATAATTCTAACACGAATTTTCTCAATCTTTCGTACATTTCTTTTCACTGTTGGAGGTAATTCAAAAATCAATTCTCCAAAATTCATTTTTATTTCTAGTCTGACGCGACACTTGAGCGCGTTTCGTAAAACTTATTACATTTTCAAAGACTTTACACATACACAACTGAATAGAACTTACATATCTCCGATTTGTTTATATCTACATTTGAGTGAGGTGGATGGGGTGAGGTGGTATTTAATAGGGTATTAATTTCATCAACACAAGACAGAACACGAAACAATGGGTATTGAAATGGAAGTGATTGTAGAAAGCCTATTGGTCCATATTTCTTGATGCTTCTATATTGGAGCGGAGTCTTGAGGTGGGTAGAATATAGTTGTGCATTAATTGGCTGTTGATTGCTGGTGTTGACTTCTTAATGTGCAGTGCCTCGCAAACGTCAAGCCGTCTGCTATCGCTGTATCTATCGATGATTTCTGTGTTGTTTACTAGGATTTCTCTGGCGATGGTTTGGTTGTGGGAAGAGATTATATGTTCCTTAATGGAGCCCTGTTGCTTATGCATCGTTAAACGCCTAGAAAGAGATGTTGTTGTCTTGCCTATATACTGGGTTTTTTGGAGCTTACAGTCCCCAAGTGGGCATTTGAAGGCATAGACGACGTTGGTCTCTTTTAAAGCGTTCTGCTTTGTGTCTGGAGAGTTTCTCATGAGTAGGCTGGCCGTTTTTCTGGTTTTATAGTAAATCGTCAGTTGTATCCTCTGATTTTTGTCTGTAGGGATAACGTTTCTATTAACAATATCTTTCAGGACCCTTTCCTCCGTTTTATGAGCTGTGGAAAAGAAGTTCCTGTAAAATAGTCTAATAGGGGGTATAGGTGTTGTGTTAGTTGTCTCTTCAGAGGTTGCATGGCGTTTCACTTTCCTTCTTATGATGTCTTCGACGAAACCATTGGAGAAGCCGTTGTTGACTAGGACCTGCCTTACCCTACAGAGTTCTTCGTCGACTTGCTTCCATTCTGAGCTGTGGCTGAGAGCACGGTCGACATATGCGTTAACAACACTCCTCTTGTACCTGTCTGGGCAGTCGCTGTTGGCATTTAGGCACATTCCTATGTTCGTTTCCTTAGTGTAGACTGCAGTGTGGAAACCTCCGCTCTTTTCCATGACTGTTACATCTAGAAAGGGCAGCTTCCCATCCTTTTCCATCTCGTAAGTGAAACGCAGCACGGAACTCTGCTCAAATGCCTCCTTCAGCTCCTGCAGATGTCTGACATCAGGTACCTGTGTAAAAATGTCGTCAACATAACTGCAGTATATGGCCGGTTTCAAGTTCATGTCGACTAAGACTTTTTGCTCGATGGTACCCATGTAGAAGTTTGCAAACAGGACACCTAGGGGAGAACCCATGGCGACCCCATCTACTTGCTTATACATGTGCCCATCCGGGCTCAAGAAGGGTGCCTCTTTAGTACAAGCTTGGAGTAGTTTCCTCAGAATATTTTCTGGTATGTCAAGAGGAGTACAGGCTGGATCACGATACACTCTGTCGGCTATCATCCCGATTGTCTCGTCCACAGGTACGTTGGTAAACAGCGATTCTACGTCCAACGAGGCTCTTATCCCTGTGGCCCGTGTGCCCCGCAGTAAGTCAACAAATTCCTTTGGAGACTTCTGGCTGAAGGCGCAAGGAACATAAGGAGTCAGCAGGCCGTTGAGTCGCTTCGCCAGTCTGTACGTGGGTGTGGGTATCTGGCTAATGATTGGCCGAAGTGGGTTTCCAGGCTTGTGTGTCTTGACATTTCCATACGCATATCCAGGTTTATATTCCCCAATGATCTTTGGCAGGTGGAGTCCGGATTTCTTGGCGTTCACAGTTTCGATCAGTTTGTTGACCTTTGCTTTCAATTCGGCTGTAGTGTCCTTCGTTACCCTTTAGAACTTAGTTTGGTCAGAGAGTATGAGATTCATTTTCGCCAGATATTCGTCTTTTTTAAGAATGACATATATTGGCGACTTGTCACCTCTCCTGACAACTGTCTCCTTGTTCTCACGAAGGCTTTTAGCTGCCGCTTTGAGCTCGGGGGACAGTATGGTGCTTCTGTAATTGCCTCGATTCTTTCCTCCTTCTGCAATAAGTTCTGCTTGTAAGGTATCTTTGGTAGTGACCTTCTTTTGTGTCTCGAGGTCGAATATGTCGTCCAACAGAATTTCCAACTCTACTTTCCGGGCCATCTCACTCGGTCTGGACATAACGTGACAGTTTATGCCCAGATTTAGGAGAGTGACTTGGTCCTCAGTGAGGTTAATTCCTGCAAGGTTCAGGAAGCCATCTCTTGGTCGTGGAATTGCCATAGGTCCTCCATATAATGTTGTTAGTTTCTTGATAATCCTTGTTTCAGTGCTGAGGTGATGTCGGTCTGTGAGGATGTCGAGGTGTTGTTCAATGCGGGTACGGATACTATGGTCGATGTTGCTATTTCTCCACTCGTTTGTAGCATGAAGTAGTTGCGTTTTGTTGTCTTTGATTTCATTCTTTGCCTTGTATATCTGTTAGTATATTTTGGTAGCAGTCTTTCCTGTAGACATATATTATTAAATATGACCGAAAAAGTAAGATTAATAATTCTAACACGAATTTTCTCAATCTTTCGTACATTTCTTTTCACTGTTGGAGGTAATTCAAAAATCAATTCTCCAAAATTCATTTTTATTTCTAGTCTGACGCGACACTTGAGCGCGTTTCGTAAAACTTATTACATTTTCAAAGACTTTACACATACACAACTGAATAGAACTTACATATTAGAACTTACTGAATAGAACTTACAAGTTTTACGAAACGCGCTCAAGTGTCGCGTCAGACTAGAAATAAAAATGAATTTTGGAGAATTGATTTTTGAATTACCTCCAACAGTGAAAAGAAATGTACGAAAGATTGAGAAAATTCGTGTTAGAATCATTAATCTTACTTTTTCGGTCATATTTAATAATATATGTCTACAGGAAAGACTGCTACCAAAATATACTTTATATATATATATATATATATATATATATATATATATATATATATATATAATGTGTGTGTGTGTGTGTGTGTGTGTGTGTGTGTGTGTGTGTGTGTGTGTGTGTGTGTGTGTGTGTGTGTGTGTGAGAGAAAGCTGCATGAATGCGCAAGCCATTGATTACTAAGAACTCTTTGACCCGGCCAGGACTCGAACCCATGCCGTCTAGGATCACCCCTAAACGTACACAGTACCGAGACCACCGCACCAATGATCGTCTTTGACGATTTGATTGCCAAAGACGATCATTGGTGCGGTGGTCACGGTACTGTGTACGTTTAGGGGTGATCCTAGACGGCATGGGTTCGAATCCTGGCCGGGTCAAAGAGTTCTTAGTGATTGAGGACAGGAAAGGAGGGGGATGGAAGAGGTGTATTTTTTATATTAACACATTTCTGTACATCTACATTTGTGCAGCTGCCTTAGACTATATGAAGGGGAGTACTATGTGTGTCAAGAACTAGCTATCTGATGTTAAGTCCCTATTACAATGGATGGTTAGTCATTTAGGACCTTGTGATCAGTAGTCTGCACTGGAATTTTTTTTGGTTCATTATAAGGATATCCTCAAGAATACGAGAGTTAATAAAGTAATTGAAAAGCTCCAGGTATCTCATGCCAACGGGTCTGAATGGTCTAATATATGGACATTCGGTAATGTAGTGTGTGCGAGAGACAGTTCCTGCTCACAAAGTTTGGACCTAGAGTGCTGATGATTGGGAGACCCGTCACCTGTAGCCACCTGCCACAGGTAACGGTAGCCACCTGCCACAGGTAACTGTAGCCACCTGCCACAGGTAACGGTAGCCACCTGCCACAGGTAACTGTAGCCACCTGCCACAGGTAACGGTAACCACCTGCCACAGGTAACGGTAGCCACCAGTCACAGGTAACGGTAGCCACCTGCCACAGGTAACTGTAGCCACCTGTCACAGGTAACGGTAACCACCTGCCACAGGTAACTGTAGCCACCTGTCACAGGTAACGGTAACCACCTGCCACAGGTAACTGTAGCCACCTGTCACAGGTAACGGTAGCCACCTGCCACAGGTAACTGTAACCACCTGCCACAGGTAACGGTAACCACCTGCCACAGGTAACGGTAGCCACCTGTCACAGGTAACTGTAGCCACCTGCCACAGGTAACGGTAACCCAACCACATCCTGGCAACCACTGTGTCGCACAGTCTGGTCCACGTTCTGTGCTGCCCATAAACATAGGTTTCGGATATAAAT